TTATTAAGTTGGTGAAGGATTTTGGGTTTCCATTTTCTAGTCATCATGTTCACATAAATTTTGTTGACCCTTTTAGTACCTTCTGGGATATAGCTTCTTCGACAACCTATTTCTATTTATTTTCGTTTGGCAAAAAGTTTCTTGTACTATCAATTCTTTGGATGTTAGTGAGAGAAGAGTAGTAGAGTAAACTAACAGTTTCCTGTATATCTTTGTTTGTGAACCTTTAATTTCAAAAGAATATTGTCATCCAAATTCTTTTGAACTATCTTCCATGGATATTAATGAGAGAATAGAAGTAGAATAGACTAACAGTTTCACGTATTTCTTTGTTAGTGAAGTTCTAAGTTCATAAGAATAATGTCATGCAAATTTTTCAATATGCCAACTTTCATGATATTGGATTTATGAATGCATAGCATATTGAATTACAAATACCCTCTGAGTCTCTGAAGTTTTTTTTCCTCAAATATTACTTACTCGTATTATGGGCTCTTCAGTTGTTTCTGAATCCACTGCTTTGCAACTATCTCGTGGTTTGCCTGTGAAAGATTCTCCGGGTACCAAGCCTGGAATTGTGGTGGTTTGTGAAAGAGTATATATCCAAGGATTATTGAGGATTAAAAATCTGAGGAAGCTAGCACACACAGTGAAAGTGAAGGTTTCAGTGTCAAGTTCAAATTCTCGGATACCAAATGTTGAGGTTTGTTTTCATAGGTGAGTGTATTGTAATACGGCATGTGACATCACAGACCAACATTTGTTAGACCTAATGATAATGAAATAACCTATGGAAGTGTGAGGACCACTTGGGTGTACTTTAAGTTTAATAGGTGAAAATTTTGTATAGGATTGTTGTGGTTGATATATTTGTACAAGAAACAAACTTTCATTAGTTGATTAGATGTATTTATTCAGAATATAACAGAATGAATTCTGTCGGGTGAGATCTAGGGACAAAACTTGCAATTTTCTTATGAGTGAATAAGAACATAGTTATACCCTATACTGGTTCAGATTTAGCTTCTAAATACTATATGGCTTTGCAGGAACATGTCCCTTGGGATAGGAATGTGCCCTCAAAGTCAGTGGGAGAAAGTTGCCAAAGGTTCTTGGATTCAATCCATGTCGCCATTTGACCACAAGCTTTTAGATATTAGAACATCTGGGTTATCCTTGGAAAGCTTTGAGGTATCGATCGAAGAAGGTAAGTAAGCTTGCTGTGAATTACAAAAGAAAAATAAAGTGAAAATAAATTCAATTTTGACCTTATCTAAATATCTACTTCAGGATGAAGGTAGACTCTAACCCCACCCTCCTTCTGCAGAATTCTTTCTGTATCGAATTATCTTTTTAATTCTGGGAACGGTGTTGATGAGTTCGGCCTCCATTCTGGGCAAGTCATTGGTATTCTATTATGGCAGTGCCATGGTAATTGGAGTTCTGCTTATAGTGTTAATGATCCTTTTTCAGGTGATTAGTTTCTCTCTTTTATCTTAATTCAATTCCTATATCATATTACTTTCAACCAATATTATGCTTCTTATGGAATAAAAAGGAATATAAAATCTTCACTACTTTGAACTCCATAAAAATATCTTCTGTTTCTGGTAACTTGGAAGTTGGTTCTGGCTTTAGGATATTATGGTGTCTTTGAGAGTTTGGTTTCTACTTTCTAACTGGTTGATCTTGATGATAACTGCATGATGCATACTATCTTTTTGCTTTTCAATATTGACTTACCAATTACCTTTATTACATAATTTAGTCAAAATTTATTCTTGTATGTTTCTGCAAGTTCAAAAGTATTTCCAGTTCATGTTTTTTTGAAATTCTATATAATTTGTGTTAGATTTGGCAGTTTAAGTCACTAGGTCAATATAATAGAAGTAAAACTGAAACTGTGAACGTGTGAAAATTTGTTGCATGGATTGGATTGGTGGTCGTGGTCCATCCCCCCCCTCCCTCCCTCATGGTTGAAAGATATATGGGAATGACTATAGCATTCTCACATCGTCTTTTGTATATGTAATAATACCTTTTTCTTGCCTGGAATGGCAGGGGATGAAGCTTCTACCTACTGGTCGGAAGAGCTCACTTGCAATTTTTCTATATGCATCTGCAGTGGGTATCAACCTTTTGTCAGTCTCACATATCTTCTTTTTGTGATCATAGAAGTACTGAATGTACAACTTACAATCCATCTTACCACAGGTTGGTCTGGGATCTTTTTTCCTCCGTTACATACCTGGATTATTGCATCAAATACTTTTGGAAATGGGTATAAGTGAGGACATGTATAATCCTGTACGTAACTTATCTTTTTATCTATCTTGAATATTTGCCTTGTACTTCAGCTGTGAATATAATTACAAAAGTTTGTTATGTAATTCTCTTTTAATGCATTGGCACTTTGTAATCATGTTGGCTGGAAAAGCATCATGTATATGTGTTTAGGCTAAAATTTGCCTATATGCTTGAAACAACTACATATGGCCAAATTAAGGCCTTTCATATTAGAACATGTCATCAAGACTGTTGTTTGGACATGGATATCTATCTTAGGTTTACCTCAATTTATCCAATGTTCGACCCAAGGTATGTCAACTTGGACAACTTGGACATCAATGACACTTCCCTAATGCAAGACATTTTTTTTTCCACATGCAGTTATTTATTTATTTTTAATCAGTAAACAATACGATTGAAAATCTTTAACAATTCTTGACGTTTAAGGGAAAGTTAAATGACTAACAGGTCCAGATGACTTCCCTACTATGCTCTCTCTCTTTATAATCTGTTCCACTCTGCTGTTCTTTGCAGCCTTGTACGTATGGACATATGTGTGTATTTCATTTTATAATCATCTTTTCCTGGTTTGTAACAATTTTTGTGTTCTTTTATTAGTTCGTTCAAATACACAATTGCCGGGCTATTAAATGCTTCTTAAATTATTAATTGCAGCTTGCAGCATTTCTATTGGCTTTTATTTTTCTGATTGGAGCATGGTTGGGCTTTTGGGTAGTCCACAAATTTGTCCTTGACGAAGATGGATCAATTCATACAAGTACATCACTTTTTGTCACGTGGTCCATACGGATTTTGGCTACTCTTCTCATTCTTCAGGTATTCTCATTATAATTACAACTTTCAGTGGGAAAGTATTTCTTTATTAGTACTCTCTTTTACTTAGAAACTCCCGAAGTTCTATATATTATTTGAATATAAAGTTGAAGATCACCTAAAACTACGACATGTGGGAAAAAAATTAATTTTATAGATGTCTGATATCTGATGTGGCCTCAAGGATGCGGGATGTTATTGGAATTCTTAAGCTATTACTATCATTATTGTTGTTGTTTCTCTTTCCCAGATATGAGACAATCTCTGACCAATTAGTAGAATCAAAGTATCTTAACTTTTATATCAGTGCATAAGATGTTATCRCATTTTCAAACAATTTCCTGTTTGATAAATTTAAATTACTTTCAGTGTTCTTTGGATCCCTTGCTGGCAACGGGAGTTTTAATATGTGGAGTAATGGCTTCTTCAATACTGAGGAAAATCTTCAAGTTGAGATTTCTTCGTCGCCAATACAAGTTTGTATTCTATCCAAATCCAGAGCCATATAGTATCATCCATTCATTTTTTAGTTCTCATTGTAGATTGCATTATTCATTAAAAGTTAAAATGAAATGTAAGCTCAATTAACATGCATTTGTGTTATCGTAAGAATCATTTCTGAAATTCCATTTGATAAATAATTTGTACTTGTCCAATTCAGAACGTGATATATGAAATTTTTTACTTAGTTAATCTATGAATTAATATATCTCTTCCTCTAATCGTGTATATATATATATATATATATATGCATATATATAGTGATAGCAAGTCAACATTATCAACATCATAAGGCACTATGATTCGTGTGTAATGTATGACATTGTGGATTGTTGTCGTTCCAGGAATTTTTTCAAATCGCCAAAGAAAATGCACAAGAGATCTCATATCTCTGATTTGCCACGTCTTGATGATTCTTATGATGAATTCACTTTGAGGTCTCCCCCGAGTTACGAAGACCCCAGGTTCTATAGATCTCAAGACAGAAAGTTCGCCCTTCAGTCCTGCAGTTCTTCTAAACGTGGTATTGTCGAATATCTCCAGTAACCTTTTTGAAATAATAAAAGATGTTCTAGAATAACAGTGACTATTTATTTATGTCATTGATGCATTCCCAAATGTTGTAGAAATGATAGAATGTCAATCGGTCAGGCAATGCTTTTTTGCCATCTTTCTTGTTCAGGTTTTGTTGACAAACGTTTGCCTGATGCAGATGTATATCCTTCAACATTCCATTCCACACCAGGAAGGAAAAAATTTTCAAAGCACGAGTGGGAAAAGTTCACCAAGGACTCAACCGAAAAAGCTTTGGAAGAATTAGTTTCTTCACCAGACTTCAGCAGCTGGCTTGTTGACAACGCTGATCGAATCAGCATAACTCCCCAAAGTAGTAGAGCTGAAAAACGTCGCAAGTGGCTCGATTGGTCTTGATCAGGCAAGGTTGATCACAACACGCTAAGATTACGTGAGCAAACATGTTGCATAGTTATCATGATTTTTTCTAGGAAACAGTAGGATGTTTCTAGACAAATTGATCAAACCCACTAACTTGTATTTCCTTGTATGTTCGATCATTAATCATCGGCTAGATTTAGAGTATCTATCTAAGATACAAATATGTTCATGTAGATTTGCATATGTTTAGTCATTCAAATGGGAGAATGTTGTAGCACTTCACTGTATCACTGCACAATGTAATCCAATCTCATAGCCTTTTGGGATGCATTGGCTTCAATTTAATTGTTAGCCTTACTTTTTCCTTTCCCAGATCGATATCTCAGCTTTGTTAATTGATCTGATATGATCATTAAGATGTATCTTACTGATAATTTGCAGCTTGAAGCTTCGCCCAGTCTTTCTTTTGTTCTGTCTTGTAGGATATTATTGGTCTGTTTTCTCTTTGCTGAAATTCTTGTGAAATTTTCCATTTAGAAAAAGGAGATCTTGGCATAAGTATAGTACTATTCATGAAGCATGTTGATCAAATGCCTGAAATTCAAGTGATTTGTTGTTAACTTAGCCAACAGAATTTTCTGTAAACACATTTCAAAATAGAATCTTTCCAATTTATTTTTGTCTRAGACTTTGATAATCGTTATTATGATGAGAAATGTTGGCGATGTAAGCTAATTGTAGGTTAGACCAAGTTGTAAGATTGGTAGTTTTCTTGGTTGTATTAAGAGGATTATTAATTATCACCGACGCGTTATCTAAAGCGAGGAGTCATGAATTGTAAAGATTTTGAGTGAGCAAATGTGGTGTTTGGCTAGGATTGCTCAGCTCGAATGCATAGAAACTGAGTAAAGATATATCATCCATTGCCTACACGATGTGAGGTGGAAGGATTGATTGTAGATGGTCGTACCAACTCACCAGGTTTTGATTGGTCTATAAACTCGGGTGGCACTTTCCGCAATTCTGTACCTTTTTCTGTCTAAGAAATGAAAACTTTTGTGGCGGTAAAAAGAAAGGTGTGTGTTGCTCTTTTCTTTTCCATATTTTCCACTTTACAGGTTAGAACTATCGACAAACGAAAGAGAATATATTTTGACGAAATGTGTACCGGTGTCATTATCCCAAAAAACACTACATTATTAGTAGTTCAGGTGCAATCAAACATAAACCAAGTCTTTGAAGACCGTATATTTTCGAACTAGCAAACGAAAGAAAACTTATTAGACAAAAAGTGTGTCAGTGTCATTATCCCAAAAAACCCTACATTATTAGCAATTCAGGTGAAATCAGACATCAACCAAATCTTCGATCACCGTAGATTTAGATCGATATGTCCAACAGGATTTGTAAGTCATTCCTGGCTTGACTTGGTTGGATGAGTCATGTTTGGAGTAGTATTATGCTCTCTTCTTTTGAGGGCCAAAAGTTGGATTAAATCTTTTAGGATTGGAGGGAAATGATGGATGAAATTTCACTTTTCTTAAACACAYGAGTTTTGAATAGGTTGAGAATTGAGGCATCCTTTCAACTATTTATTGGCATGTGAACTTTTGATTCAACCAATCACATTTTAAAATTATAAAATTGTTGCGATTAAATTCTACTATAATTTCGTAAGTGATGTATTTGCAAAATGCACGAATCACTCTCAGTATGAAGATATTATTACTAGTAAACCATCAACTACATGAATTTATATAATTAAACCTAATTTACTTTCAATTCTTGAAAATTTGATGATTAGATTCTAGAATACCAACTGCAAAGAAAATTAATTCATGATTACGATATTAGCYAAAAAAAGATGGTACTTTTCCGGTATGAGCTTAGATCATTGGTAATCAACGAGTACCTATCTTATTTGTATATTAAGTAATTAAATTCAGAATAATGATGAATACTAAAATAACATCTTTGTTCATATTTGAGATATCTGAAATATTTAAATAAAAAATAGTATTTCAACATTTCTAAACAAATTAAAAAGGATTAATATTATGTCTATATTAGTGATATTTTATTGACATTTTTCATTCTTTGTTAATTTTTTTTAGGATAAAATATACCTTTAGTCTCTGAGTTTGGAGATAGGTATCTATTTAGTACCTAGGTCATTGGAATTAAAATTCCATCAGTAACCTTAACGGAACACACGCCGACGTTGGCTTGGTGAGGGAAAGAGGGGAAGAGAGAGAAAGAAAAATAAAATGAAAAATAAAAAAGGAAAAGAGAAATATGTTAAAAGTAATATAAAATTAAATGAATATACAACACACTAAATCACGTCAGCATTCCATTAGTGTTAGTCATAGAAGGTTAACTCAGGGACTTTTTAGAACTATTTTTTAAAGGTGMGAGATCAAACTATCACTTTTTGAAATTCATGGACCAAATTGAAACTTATCTCCAAATTCAAAGATTAAAAATATATTTTACCATTTTTTCTTTTTTTTACGAAACTACTCAAAATGTTATCGTCGAACTGATAGACCAGTAGAAAATAAGGATGTAAAAGGGATAATTTTGGGGGATGGTGATAATGAGATGTGAAAGTAAAAAGAAAGGGGGAAGGAAGGAAAGCGCGTGTTTCTTTTTATGATTGGAATCTCATCAAATCTGATTCTCCATTAATGGGTTTGTAATTTCTTGGCGCAATTTGTTTCCCTCATTCCAAGAAAACCAAAACCGAAACCAACATCCAATCCATTGGTTTAGTATAGTGGGAAATCATTGAATTAAATTCTCCTACTTATTATTCTCTCCAATCCCATTCCGTTTGTATTCCATTCTCTCTCTCTCTCTCTCTCTCTCTCTCTCTTTTCAGCAAATCGCCGGCGTTCTAATTCCGATCATGAGTTATTACGACCACCACCAGCCGCCGGTTGGGGCTCCGCCACCGCAACCGCAAGGTTCTTAACACGCTGCCCTCCTTTGATTTTGATTTTTGCTGCTTCCACGTTTATATATGTATGTATGATAGAATTATAAGTAATTGGCTGTTTGTAATCGATCGTAGGGTCCCCTCCAAAGGATGCTTATCCTCCGGTAGGGTATCCTGTTCAGGGCTACCCTCCGGCGCCGCCGCCTCCACAGTACATTCAGCCTCAGCCTCATCCCAACCAACAAACCGGTTTCCTTGAAGGATGGTGTGCTCTCTCTCTCGCTTTCTTCCGAATTTAAAACTTATTTATTTATTTTTGGTTTCTCCCATTATCCGTATTTCTTTGTTTTGTTAGTTTTGTTATATAGTTTTTATGAATGTTTTTAAAATCTAGGTGAGTATTTTTTTAAAAAATATTTTTTTTTCTTTGTAATATGCTTTCAAAAGTGCAAAAAACTTATTGATGAAATTATATATAAAAAAAAAAACAAACTTAATTTTTATAAATAGAAATCTAGAAACAAAATAATTATCTGTACTTTTTTTTCACTTTTCTAGTTTATAAACTTTTATGAAGTTTATTTTGGTCTCTATTTTAGAAAAAGAATTATATTAAGTTTCTTTTGTTATTTGTTTCTAATTATTTAAATAGATAGTATAGCCACTTGATTTAGTTGAATATTGGATAAATAATTTTATTTTATTTTCTAATCTATAAAATTTGTGTCCAATAGATTTCTGAGTGACTTTTGCAGACTTTTCATTGTATATAATAAATTCTTGACATTAAAATTTTATGTTTAATATATGTCCATTTTAAAAAAAAATTTAGAGACSTACTAAATACAAAGTTGAAAGTGTAAGATACTTTTTAAAGATATAAGATATATTAATTAAGGACTTAATCTTGTAATTTAACTTATTTTGACAAATCAAAGAGGATTAAAGAAATAGTTATTTATTGCCATTAAAATATTAAAATAGACATTTTGATAGTCGATAAAAGCTTTGTTTGCGAGAGTGAYTCAGAGGACGACCCACCGGTAGACCTAGACTCGAACRGATAGAATCGTACTACCGTTATGCTGTTTGACTGAACTCGTTGACTCCACATCCACCGAAAGTTGTTTAAATTGACATGTTTTTCTTAACGTGGGTGGTTAATTACCAATATAATAACAATTTTAACCTTTCTAATCCCTTCAACCACACTTCATCGAGCACCCCCACATGTTAATGCTATTATATGACATATATAAGTTTAATCATKGTCAAAATTTAATATTAATTCAGTTGGAGATTGAATTAAAAAAGGAAGAAAATTGAAACTTCTTAAATAATTAAGGAGTTAATGAAAAAAGTAATCGAATATTAAGGATTAAAACATATATCTAACCTTTAGTTTAATTAAAAGTTGAGTTTTGACCCACAAATGTATGGTTTATTTTGCAGTTTAGCAGCTCTTTGTTGCTGTTGTCTCTTGGATGCTTGCTTCTGAGAAGAAAGGATGGAACTTTAACTTATGATTCTAATTTCATTGTTGTAGTATGGTAATCATCAAATCTTGTTATTAATAATGTTATGTTTTTACACAACTTTCAAATTTACATGCTTGGTTTATTAATCTTTTAATATAGATTTTTTTTTGGAAATTCAACGAAAGAATTGATCTAATATATTTTTCAGACAATCAAAATGATAAAGGAATATGAATGAAAATACATTAAAATGAAATCAATCAGAATGAGAATGTTATTTCTTTGATGTTATTTATTAGAAATGCTCTAGAATCGGAATTAAAAGTTTATTGATGTTATTTACTAAAATGTAATGTCGATAATCGCTCTTTGTATCATGCACGAGCAACCACGTAGGTCTCGTTGAGCTCTTCTTTTTGATTCGCTCACTTGTTTACATGAGCAGGAGAAGTCGGAATCAGATATATAATAACTACTAGAATTATTCCTTAGTTCTAACTCGTGTTATTGAGATTTTTAATTAAAATACAAATACATTAACTAAAAAGTATTCTAGACGCTCTGCGAAATATACTTTGATGCTTAAGTTAATTCTGGGGGATGGATATGAGGCACGAAGAGTACATTGCAAAATTCTCAAATGAGAGTTAGCGTTTGTGTGTGGAGAACTTATCAATATTTATCTTAAAACGAATTGGCAATGAGAGGAGTACTCCATGTCTATTATAAACTCTTGTTAGATTCCTTATCTTTTTAATGTGAGATTCTTAACATTGYCTAAGAATTCGGGTAGGTATTCTCGTGTACCTTAATTAAGTTGTGTTGCAATGTCGCTTTCATGTGGAGAAGCGAGGAGGGAGAGGGAGAGAGAGGCATGATTCCCTTGGCCCCCTGGCATTTATATTCCCTCTATGATTGATATAGGGGTGTAGCGGTGTCCTTTGCAATCCTCTAGGGGGTGTCAGGATTCGGGTACAGGGTGCTAATACTTCCTTCRTTGATTGGTTCTCTTACAAAATGTTTGGTACGCTCGACCTGGTGCGCTCAGCTCCAAACTTCGGTGCACTTTGCTTAATATTGTGCGCTATAGCACGTGTCGTCTCAGCTTCATTGGATAATAATTATAATTTTTATTAGAACAACCATGGTTAAAATAAGTTTTTTATTAAAATTTGCTGTTCTAATATTTATGATAATAAAATTTATATTAAAATTTATTGTTGTAATATTTAATAATAATAAAATTTGTTTTAACAAGTTTGTTGATATTAATTAATAATGATAAAGTAAAATTAAATAATTAATAAATGAAATAGAATTTTATAACATTTTATAATAAAATCACATAGACTAATACAAAGTTGTATAAATCTTTATTATAAGAAAAATTACTAAGACTACTCCACAAACGAAGAATGAAATTGCAAAATAATTAACTAAAAAGTTAGGAGTCTTATTTACTATTAGAAGAAAAAAATGGAAAAAGTTGTAAAATAATTATTGAAAATATGTGGGTCCAGTGAATGAAATAAGAATGATATCGATGAGGTTGCATAAGAGGAATGAGATTGCTTATTTGGAAAGTGAGTGATTATTGTTTGAATTGAGTCCACTAATTGATTAAATACTAAACACTAGCCACTATTTATGATTTTTTAAAGTAATTTATTGTTTTGCTTTTGGTGGGTTGTACATTCATTTACCGGTTAGAGCTAGATTCATATTGACATTAAATAATTGTTTTATTAACTTAGTTGGATTCATGGGTGTTTAAATTTTTTAAATTAATTTATTGTTTTGCCTTTGRTAGTACATTTGAGCTAGGCACAGATTGACCTTAAATAATTGTTTTATTAACCTAGTTGGATTTGTGAGTGTTTGCAAGGAATTGTTAGAAAAGACTCGCATTAATAAACTTGATTTGTATTTATGTATGTAGTGTACAATATCTAATGTAGCATCCTCTAATATTTTCTCTCCAGTGTAGACTTGATTTGAGGTTTAAAGAGTTTGTTCTCGTACCAAGGAGATTGGTGTCTCCGACTTCTAACTCGTTGAAATATTTTTTAGTTCATAAACTTTGAGTTTGTTGAAGATTTTCGACTTGACAAAGTTCTTAAATTTGTTGAAGTTGTTCGGCTATGATTCACTATATTATCTTTACCATCTATTGGCTTACTTTTTAATCGCTTTCGGCTTATATGGGTTTTGTACCTACATCCTAAACATTTGACACGTCATTACATAAAGCCTCACGAAAATAAACAGTTATCTTTTTTAAACTTCAAAAACCAAAATTTAAAATTTAATAAATCCTTTGCAAAAAAAAAAAAAAGAATAAATGAAATAAAAGACATAATAATCTCAAATCTTAAAAAAGCGACCTCCTAAATAAAAGAGACTTAAATGAGGGTATTATATGGACGTTTTCATGTATCTTTTGTTTTAACACCAGACATATCACTAATATAAATATAATATTAATATTAATCATTTTTAAATATTCAAAAATAGTGGAATGTTTGTTTGTTAATATAAATATTTTTTACGAAATTTTTATTTTTATAATTTTTTTTAGATCGATATTGACATATTATCGATAGTTTCATGAAATTAAAACCTGACATTTAAAACATGGATTCAAACCAAAATTTATTTAGCATAGACATTGTCCATGTTCTATTATTAATATAGGTGTAGTTCATGGCATGGTATGAAATATCCATCTGACTCATCGATATGTCCATTTAACATTTACATGTATTTATGAGTTCGACATCAACATAAGAGTATATTAAAAAAATAAATAAAATACGAAAAATATTAACAAAATGTTAACTACTATATACATATTAATGATATTTAAATAAAAAAATATTTATTTATTAATTTAAACTTTTTAAAAATATCCATCAACATCAATATTTTGATCCATAAAATTGATAACTCGATATTTAGGAAGCTAGAATTCTGGTGCAGTCATACATTCGTAACCAAGCACACGGTAGCCAAATCGATCGGGTAAAAGCAAAAACAAAGTAGGATTTTTGGTCAACGACACGTCATATCACACATCACCAAGAACGTGAGCACGTGCGATGCATGGTGTAATTTCTTTTTGGGTGTATGGGTAGATGGCTGCTCCTGGTCAAATTCGTGCTACAAATAAGAAAAAACACACCGCCGACGGCTATTAATAATTCACAAAAATACCTTATAATAAAACAAAATTAACAAATTAATAAATAAATAATCTAACTTCTCTTAGCCTATATATATATATATATATATATAATTAGAAACAAACCCATCACTTCCACACGCACTTCAAATTCTTGTTTTAAAAAACTATAAATTTAAAATCTTCCATTTTGCTACCTATGGAGCCTCACTCCTCTTCTTCTTCGCCGGCGGTCAAGCCATGGAACAGGGCCGTGGCGCCGCTGCCGCCGACTCCGCCGCAGATTTACAAGGTGAACCCCGTCGACTTTCGGGACGTGGTCCAGAAGCTAACTGCGGCGCCCGAGTTCCAGGACCGCCGCCTCCAAGCCATGCCTGCCCCCCGCCCCAGCCCGCCCCCCGGTTCCGCCGCTTGCACGGATTTTTCCGGCGAGGGGGCTGTTATTTACTATGGGTATCCTGGAGTTGGATTCTCTGAAAGATATTAGAGGCTATTATTAAATTTTAACTCCGATTTTTTCAGATAATTGAGCTATGTTCATATGATATAATGGTTAGTTTCGATGGTTTTAAATAGGTCGAAAAGAATGAGATCGGGTCCGATGACATATATCTTGATTGGTTTCACTATCACTAAAGATTGGAGGAGTCTTATTAAATTGGTCTCGGTCGTTTTGACCATACTGTAATGTAATATTATTAATAAGTTTGGTAAGCTTTGCCCAAGGTTCCTTTTTCAGATTTTTTGTTTAACTATGATCATTGAATATAGATATGATTTTGAAGTGGGGGCGGAATTTTATCCTTTGTTTTCCTGATCTTGATATTCATTGCTTATAGGTAATTAAATATTATCAAATATGTCAATAGTTAAAACTCGTAGAATTGTCAACCTAAACATAATTCAATTGGTTAAGATATGTATTTTCATTTAAAAAGTTGTAGATTTGAATATCTGAATACTCTACAAATACTTGAAGAATCGGACTACGAGACTTCAAGAATTGAATCTTCTCTTTATCATCAACAAGCAGAAAAATATTCAACAAGCTCATAGTCAAAAACTTTAAAAACTCTTCACAAATTGCAAGTTGAAGAACTTCGCTAATCTGCATAGTGTAACTTCATTCAGCTACAAACCTAAGAACTTCTTCAACAAGCCGAAGAACTTCATCAACCTATAAGTGGAAAAAGTTCACAGAGTCAAAGATCTTCATCTAACTACAAATTTAAGAACTTCTTAAACAAACCAAAGAACAACTTCGTATCAACCTACAAGTTGATGAACTTCACCAAGCCAAAAAACTTCATTAAGCTATACAAGACTAAGAAAACTTCATAAGAAAATCGAAGTTTTCAACAAGGTTAAAGCCAAAGACTTCAAAGATCCTTCAACAAGCTAGAGGCATTCGAGAGAAAACATCGGATGATTATACATTAGAGATAATTATAACACTACATACATAAACACAAATATAAGTTCATTAATTTGAGAATCTCTTCATCCAAATTTCTCGCGAACAGTAATTATGAGTCAAGAACTCGAGAGAACAGTGCCAAAGTGCTTGTAGCACAAAGTCAAAAATAGAATTTGAGAGGACAATGCCAAGGCATTAGCTACAACACCACAACTTTGCCTTATAATACGAGACTACGCAGAACCTGAATAAGAAAGGCTTAAAAAAATTATAATCTTTGAAAATTTTGTTACAATCCCATCATCCTAATACACTATTTTAGTTTTATGCTTTAAAATTTTTGTCATTTTTTTTTAGTAAATAGAGCACTTTGATGCCCAATAAAGAAATAAGTAAGTGTGAGGTGTAAAGCAGAAACAATGGACTAAAACTCAAAGTTCGTAAAAAATCGCCGAGTTGAATGAAATTCGTCTGTAACTATTGGTTTACAGGCGAGTTTATCTCGTATAAAGTCAAAGCTCGTAATATATATATTAATTGTTATGTTATTTAATAAAAGTTATATATGAACTTGTGGTTTGAACATGTTTGCTGCTCCTTCTCCACGTGAGATCAATTTGTGTGGGATGAAATTTAAAAGGGTGTGTGAATAGTAGGTTAAAAATATAACAAATAATATATATTATATTACAAACTTCGAGCTCGATTATTGTAAAAAAAAAAAAAAAAGAGCTTCGACCTCGCCTAAGATACATCCCATGAACCAATAGCTTCATGTGAATTTCATACCACTCAAGCGAGTATTTTTTTTTCAAACTAACCCGAGTTCTGGTCTCTATTTATATCAACTGCTTTATTTTCTGAGCAAAACTCGTCCGAGTTTTCATCAAGAAACTAGAAACCTCCTTCACAAATCAAAATCACTCATCTTCATTTTTTAAGATTAGCTACACCACCGCATTCAGAACCTGCCGAAACCCTAACTCCAACAATCTTTTCAATCAAAAACCATTGTATAATACCCATAAACTACCCCCTATTTGTCGGAAAAACAAAAAGTTTAGCCCTAAAAGTGATGAAAAAAGTATACACTAGAGAAAAGCAAATTGACCCTGAAGATTCGAACTTTAGATTTGAGTGCAAAAAATTCCAATGGTTATTCCTCCCACGTTTGAGAATGTAAGAGTCAAACGAAAGATTTCACAATTTCATTTAAAACAATGTGCATAATTATCCATTTACATTACGAAAAGCTAGTTTTTAAACTTTGGGTTAATATTTAAATTCAAAATCTTTTCGGGTCATTTGATCAATTTCCCCTCAATAAAACGTAGCGTCGAGCATCAAAACTCCAAGACTTAGGCTTCTAAAAAAAACTTAGGTTAAGCACTTCTTTTTGGGTAATACTTTTTAAAGTTTTTTTCGTTTAATACAACGAATAGGTGGGAGATTAACCCTTTCTAATAAAAATTTAGAGTAAAGTTTCTCGAAAATTTATACGAATTCGACAAAATAAAAATGTTAAAATTTAAAATGAAAATAAAATGACCAAAAATTTTCCTCCAAAATATCATCCTTTTAAGCATTTGGGAATTTCTTGCTTGCCTCGGTGGCCACTGCCGTCTTCCCGGCCAAAATCGCAATGATACTGAAGAGCCGCCT